GGTGGAGTCCTCGGCATCATAGGGAAGGCTGCGATTTCAAAAAGGCCCTTGAGTCATGTGTGAGAACGCTAAGTGTTTGTAAAAAGGACACAGCAGCATTATCCGGAAGTAAGCTCGGCATCTAGCACATCCCTTGCACACCTAGTGCATCGATGCTTTGAGCATTTGTTCGACGTTTGCTTTGTGTGGACTGAGTCTTCGGAGAAAAGTTCCAATTCGTGCGCTCTCATGGTTACTCAGCTGTGACGTATGGAAGCTACGGCGAGCGGAAGCACCGCTCATGAGGTTATGTGCGCCCAAGCGCTCCCTCTGTGAATGGCGTGAACCTCTGTGGACCTGTTGGCGAGAGCAGCAGTGCGAGAGCTGACAGTGGTTCTGGAATGTTATCTGGAACGGCAGGTGGTCGCCACTTGATGGCGAATCTGGCAGCACAAGCTGGATGCTTCGGGTGCGAACCCTCGGGCGATGGACCAACCTACTAGTACCGTCCCACCAGGGCGCGTGGAAGCTGGAGCAGGAGCAGGAGCAGGGACAAGTTTTTTCGTTGTTGATTCCTGAAGCCCAACGCCCAGACCTGGAACCGCGGACGGATCAGGCTTCTTTCCACCTCGCGGGGTGGCAGCGGCTGCTCAAGCACTTGGTGGCGAGCCTCGATGTTCCGCGCTGCCAAGGTTGTCTGGTGTTTTGGGAGCCCATGCAGCTAGTCCCTTGGGGGAGCTGCCAAGGCCCAGACTCCTCTGGGAGGGCCTGCCTTCACGTTGAGGTCTCCAACTCGTCAGCTCCGACCACCGGAGCCACTGTGCCGAATTCCTCTTTACCTTCGGAGGCGATTCAGCAGGAGGTACAGCCGACAGCTGGGTGGATTGATAGACAGGTTACAGCAAGTGGAGCAGGAGAACCAGCAGTTCAGGGATGATTTACAAGTGGAGCGCTCGAGACACCCACGCTACCACCTCTTCGACCGCAACCTTCTAGTGGTGGACCAGGTGAGCCAGCACCCGCCCAGTTAATGTTCCTCTAGTCCGGGAGCCCCAGATGTGGTTGTACAACCGGCCTCTACTGGACCATCGCGTGAAGAACGACCTAGTGGATTATCCTTAATGCCTAGTGGCGCCCAGGAGTACCCCAACCAGAACAACCACGAGAACCCCCCACGAGCAGCGTCGCCGGGCTTTCTGAGGTCGCTGCTGGGCCCGCGCCAACCATCGCCGGCTCGACCAACGGCAAGGACTGCAAGTGAGCTTCCAGGGCTGGATGTGTTGACAAAGGGTATTCAGCAGTTACAAGAGCTACAGGCGAGTTGTGAACAGGGCTTCTGAGAAGTGGCTGAAGGCGACACCTGAGTGGACGTCAGGGAAATGGGTTCGTCTGAATGCAAGAGTGTCGTCGATGTTGCTAACAGCGATGAGCAGCGAGCTGAAGGCGGACATGGTGGCGCAGTGTCTCGCAGAATGCGGTGCGGGTCGTCTACAGGCTCTACAGATGGTACCAGCCGGGTAAGAGCGTTGAGCGACAAGATGTCTTGAAGTCTTGAAGAAGTTGCTTCAACGACACGCTGGAGGAGGTGCTGAAGACGGTGCGCAACTGGCCGCGATGGCTTTCGAGGTGCCAGGCGGTACACATGGCGCCCCCTGATCCAAGTGTCCTGGCGAGGGGACTCATGAGAGGGGATCGAGATGCGTGTTTTCCCACTCAGTGGCCCATCTGGACCGGGACATCCGTTCTCGCAAGTGCTTGGGATGCGGCAGTGAGGCGCATCGCCAAAAGGACTGCCATGTCGTGAAAGGGGCCTAGAAACCACCGGGCCAGAGCACGCCAGCACATGCCAGCACCAAAGGCTAGAGCGAGAGATGATGCAAATAAGGCCTCAACTACTGCCCCAGGCTTGTCGACTATGTCAACGGCGGCTACTCAAGGGGATACCTCGAGCACGTCTTCTACCATACAGGGTGTATCGTGGACTCTGGAGGCACTAGTTCAAGCAGCCCAGCCCGTAGTACAAGGAACCCAGCAGTCACAGTCAGGTGAGAGCTCTTCAGAGAAGACCAAGCCTGAGATTCGCACGATCATCAAGGATGTCCGAGTAAGCTCAACTCTTTCCCAGTCAATGGCCCTCGTGGACTCAGGTGCAACCCTACCAGTACGGGCAGCTCGTAAATGAGATAGCGCGGAGGATGCGCGGGTTTTGTTGGCTGGGAACCATTCATGAAGATGACAACAAAGGGCACCTTGCTGATGCCGTACCAGGCCTCTTCCGGGGATGGAAAAGGACCAGATGGGTGGAGGACAACCTGACAGCTTCTGCAAACCTTGGGGTGCACGCAAATTTGGGGCCCACAAAGTGCTCCCTCCGGAACCCTCAGGGTGAGCAGATTCCGTTGAAGGTCAAAGGAGGCTGTCCACGGATGCGTGAGGTAGGCTCTAGCGATGAATCGCCCGCATCGAAGAGAGGAAGCGGGAAATGCTGGAGAATGCCACGCTGCAATCGCAGGGACGTGATCCAAGTGTCATGGGATGACCATTTGCGCGAGTATGTGCAGAATGGATTGCTGATGGACTTCGGGCCCTACGGGATGCTCCTTTTCTCGACGACCTACCAAGTGAGTGCATGGGAGCTTTGGTTACCCCGGGCAAGTGGTGGGTTGTCCACTTGTTCGCGCGCGAAGAGGGTCACTATGAGATCTTCAAGCTGGACCAAGGTGGCACGGTGCTATTGGAGTTCGACATCCGTGGGCAAGATATCTTTAGACCAAAGGTTTGGGAAATGCTCATGTGGCGCGCTCGCACTGGAAGGATCGATGCTGTGATTGGTGGGCCTCCGGGTAGACACCCAGGGGGACTCGGTGGAAGTGACAAACAGCCTCGTGATCCTCGGACTTTGGCGCTGGTGATGTGGTTACGCGCAGTATCCCAGGCTGGAAGGTGGGAGAACGGAACAGTTGATGAATGCCTACGACCGGTTGGTTTGGTAGTTGAACACCCGGAACCTCAACCCTATCTACTAAAAGAATTCGTTATGGACCAGCGACCTTTGGACAACCTATGCCGAGATCTGTGGAGCCCAGTCAATCTCCTTTGATCAAGCGGCTATGGGAATGCTATGGGAGCTGCCTCTCGAAGCCCTGCTACCCTGGGAACCAATGTGGATCATCTACTCGGGTTGGGCAACGATATGGGCCGCGGTGGCTCTGACGTTCTGGGATCAACTACGACCCCGTCCTGCTCTACCCGCTATGACCCCTCAGCAGTGGCGAGAGCATGTGAAGTCCAACTACGAAAACGACAGGAAGGATTGTGCGACTGTGTCATGGCAAGGGGACAGGTGTACACACCTCAGTGCTTGGGAAAACTGACTCAGGAGGACATCCTTGCTTTGGACAACCACGGCTTTCCCCACCTCTTTCACAACTACCCCTGAGGCCTTCGGCGGAGCTCCTCTACCAGTACGGAGATGATGTACGCGAACACCGTGGAACACCGTGGAGGACATCATCAAGAACCTTAAGGGGCCCCTTGAGGTGACTTACACGGTGGATCCACGAGAAGTGCTGCAGAACTTGTCAGCCTGGGAACCGGTCACTATGAAGGAAGTGAAGAGTGGTCAGGTAGCTGTTGAAAGGCTATATACATCCGGGCAGCTCTGAGCGAGCTCAGTGGTTGTCTAAGAAGGGCGTGCAAAGGTTGCCTACAAATTTGTCTTGATCCTGAAACCCAACGACAAGGCGGACCCTCAGATCCTTCCACATGGTTCAAATGGAAAGCCCGCTTGGTGGTGCTTGGAAACTTTGCCGAAGGAGATGCTGCCAGCCTCTACGCCGAGTCCGCCCCGTCCGAGGCTGCTCGTGCTGGACTAACAGTGGCTACGAAGCGACAATGGTCAGTGGGGATCGTGGACGTGGTGGCGGCTTTGTTGCGGAAAGGAAGCCTACAAACCCTCGAATAGTGGTGGCTCCACCGAGGCTCCTGGAAAGGATGGGTGTCACAGTACCGTTGGAGAAGGGCGACAGCTTCATCAGTTCGGTGCTGGTGGTCAATAGTAAATGCCACCGGCGAGACAGTGGGAGCGATCATCATCTTGTCGACGACTTCATGCCATATGGACACCCGTGGATCTTTCCTTGAAGCTCCAAGTGCTATGACCTACCGAGCGGAAGTACCGCTCATGAAGCTTAATGTTTCGCAACAAGCCCAGCAAGAAGTTTTTGAAGCAGCATGGTGCGTGCAAAACCTGCCAGCTAGAACGTACCCGTGACTAAAGACTCATCCAGCCTGCAAATTCGCAATTTTGGCTAAGCGTCTGCGTTCCACGTGATGTCTCCGGTTGGCAGGACTCCTTCTGGCCCGCTCTTTCCGGAGTAGTCAACACCATTCACGGTCAGCAGATCCCAGCTCAGCTCCGTGGAGAAGTCGACGACATCGATTGCGATTGGGCGTTCCGGATCCAATGGCGCCACCTGGATTTGGCAGCCTTCACTGTCGGGATACTGGCCCGGGTAGTTGGGACTGGAAACGCATGTGCCGTCGACGGCGCAGGACCTAAGTGATGGGTCCACGTGAAGTAATTCACATCAAGTTGTTTCACGCCTATATGGGGGAGTTGAAAGAAGGACACGACGGGGACGTGGAACCTATAGTGTTTGTAAGAGCAGCTCAATCTCGGGCGGCGGCCCACTCAGCAATCTGAGCGTTTCATTCGGACCCCATGCCTCGTGGGCAGCTCGCAGCGAGTCGGACGCGAAAAGCACTAATCAGCCCCAGAGCATCAAAGCTCGAGTGGCTTTAGGAAGGCGCTTCAATGAACTTACTATCCGTCGGTTTTGGTTCGAGCCTTTGGGCGAGCCTGTGTGAGGCAAATCCGCCATCCAGCATCAGTGACGCTGGAGTCCTCGGCTGGGCACTTGTATGCACCCTAACAGCTATAAGAGCTAAGGCCGGTGAAGCCGCGAAGGCCAGTTTACTGTGTCGACAGCATCACCCAGCCTGCAACTTCGCAATTTTGGCTAAGCGTCTGCGTTCCACGTGATGTTTCCGGTTGGCAGGACTCCTTCTGGCCCGTTCGTTCCGGAGTAGTCAACACCATTCACGGTCAGCAGATCCCAGCTCCACTCCGTGGAGAAGTCGACGACATCGATTGCGAGCGGGCGTTCCGGATCCAATGGCGCCACCTGGATTATGCAGCCTTCACCGTCGGGATACTGGCCCGGGTAGTTGGGACTGGAAACGCACGCGCCATCGACGGCGCAGGACCTCAGGGAACGCAGCAAAAGCGCACCCCATGTTACGACAGTTCGGACCTTTCTAAGAAGGATAGCCTTCAGCGAACAGTAGTCGAGCCAAGCGGAAGCTGCATGAGTTGGCATGAGCTACTGTGACAGCAGCTCATTCTCAGGTAGCGGCCCCGATGTAACTGTCAGAGCCAGCGAACCTTGCTGAAAGCCGGATGTGACCGATGACCCCTCCAAGAAATCGGAGCACTCTCCACACACTGTATCAAAGCATCTCAGCAAGCGATGCTGAGTCTCATCCGTGCCTCGCCACAAGAGAGCGCATCCACCAGCCAGCAGGCCGGTCCGTGCCATGCTCATGCTGTTCTGACGGGCTTTATATAGCACTTGAGCGCGAGAAGTCTGCGCACAATGCAGATGCGCATCGAAAGCAACAGCAGCCATGCAGGAAGTCCACACACTCAGCCTCACTTTTCAGCACGTAGCCCTGTCGACAGCGCGTCGCTGACCGTCCCCAACGCTCAGAACACCGGTCTGGATCTTGAGACTTAGAGTAGCAAGTCGCGGGTGGCACAGCACTGCTCAGTCTTCTGCTTTGTTGGCTGCAACTTAACATAATGCATATGCGCGTCGACAATACGACCAGCATTTCGATCATACACTAACCTATACTCTAAGCCCTGATACAGGAGACCCGCAGCTCTCCCGAAAGCGTACGCTGCGCATGATATATCAGTATAAACACAGCGGTATCACGCCGCCCAACATGTGTATCCACATATGCTCGAAGTATCTTCGTCCTTGCTGTTAAGGTCTGCCAAACTACATGCAACTACAATCTCTGCAACACTTTGCCATCGCACGTACTCCCATATTCGCAATTAACAAGCTGCTTGCCACTTGGTATGGTGGGACGGGCTTCTTCTGACATACCAGGGCTCAAGTGGCGGGGAATCCCTCTCCAGGCTGGGGTTTGACAGGTGCCGCGGCTTTGAATCTTCTGTTGGGCGTTGTCTTCGTAGCCTGAAAATATGTGGCAACCTGCACAAAGGCCCTCACAAACTTGCAGGGTCTTGCAAACCTCAACAATTTTGCAGAAAGTACGGTGGAAAGGGTCGAGTCCTGCAAAGAAGAAGGCACAAAGCACACTAGAAAAGCATGCTCAGAGGCTGCGGCACGAAGAAGACGGCCGGCGTTGGCCTATAGCCGCGTGCTTCAATGAGCTTTGAGCCAACATGCCGGATTCCTCCAATAACCGTGCGACCGCAACGTGACGCGGCTTTTGAGGCCATGATATTTGCTGTACTTCCGGCACCAGAGCACAAAAAACTGGTGCCATCCGACCGCCCCACTCAACAGCCAAAGGCATCATTTCAAACAATAAAACAAAAAAGGAGCGGTCGGATCGCACCAGATTTTAGAACCAGCTCCTCGCAAAAAACTGGTGCTGTCCGACCGCCCCCCCCGCAACAGACAAAAGCATCAAAAAAAAAAGGAGCCGTCGGACCGCACCAGATTTTAGCACAAGCTCCTCGATAATAACTGGTGCGATGCGACCGCACCCTTTCACAGCCAAAGGCATCATTTCAACAAAAAACGGAGCGGCGCCAGCGTTCTAAAAGTAAATTGATTGTGTTCTTGGAACCCTCATTCATTTCATATGTACTTGCTTGCTGATTTTATGTTTTCTTTATCCTTCATACATGGCACGAGCCCCAAAACTCTCTTCACCGGGAAATTTTGTAAATAAATTGACTCGGTTTGTAGAACCCTCTTGATTTCATATGTGGTTTCTTCTTGATTTTACGGCCTGGTACTCGTTCATAAGTGGCAAGAGCCACAGAATTCTCTACACCAGCAGATTCTATGAAGAAATTTGACTTGGTTCTTGAGTTGGCTTATTGGTTTCATGTTTTTAACTCATTCATGCGTGGCACGAGCCACATAATTCTCTACATATTCTGTATAAGAAGTTTTTCGCTTGGCTTTGGCTCTTTAATGTACTTGAATATCAGATTCTAAGTGTAGAAGAAAAACGAGCGAAATGGACCCGATAAGCTTGTAGGTTTTAGCGTTGGAGCGCTTAGGATCTTAGGGGCTTGTGGCGGAAGACCGAGGAATCAAAGAGGGACCGTTTCACTTCTCTGAAGGATATTTTGGAGTTTAGTGTTGAAGATTTACGGTTCAGGGTTCAGGGTTTCGGGTTTGCAGGGCATGGCAAACTGCAAGAAAGATGGTTCTTTTCAAAAAATTAGGAGCGGTCGGATCGCGCCAGATTGTAGCACAAGCTCCTAGCTAAAAACTGGTGCCATCTGACCACCCCTTCAATAGCCCAAGAACAAACACCCCCCGGCGAAGTCCGTTTGGCCGCAAAATGATTGTTGGAAAGAACAGGAGCAGGCAGCCCAAAACCCCGGGTTTAGGGTTAGGGTTTAGGGTTCAGGGTCACGCATGTATGCGTAAAAAAACCATAACACCAGTAAGCAAACACATCTGAAATCAATGAGTCTGTCAAAGCCATTCTATGGCTCGCGCGAGTAGAAAACATAAACAAACACACACAGTGAGTGGGAGAGGGATTCCGGTCAATGCTGCCGGAGCAAGGATGGACAAAAAGACACGACCGATGAAAGCCCGAAAATGACAACCAACAAAAGTCACAAACGATGGACAAGGCACAATCGAGTGTCTCAACCTTGTGCCGGCCAGGCAGTCACTTGCTTTTTTCTGAGCCTGATCGTTGCTGTGTCTCGCTGCTGTCTCTCGCACAGTGACTGTGTGAATCAACTGTACAGAAGCGGCGAACATAACCTGGGACACCAGATGGTTTTATTCGAGTCACGCTGTCGGGGTTCCCAACCTGTCCTACATAGTGCTAGCTCATACGGGATCAAGCTGCTACTGGTCTCGCAGCTTCGGGACGGTCGTGCCAAGCTCAATGTGGGACCAGCTTCATCGCTTCATCTTGCGAGCTGGCCCCACTCAGCTCATGCCGTGGACGGCTTTGCCCAGAACGTCTCAGACCTAGGTCAGTGCCATCTGCATCGCAAAAAAAGCCCAAGAAGTCGTTCTCAGGTTAACAAGGTCTTTGATGTTTCGTTTTGTACATGCCTAGTCTAGCTGCCTAGTAATGGCGACTCGGCTAAACTGGCGACTCACAGAGAGGGACGACATATCGGCTGAAGGTTTGTTGCCTTGCGCGGTCTTGCGCGGGAATGCATAGGGCTTTGGGAACCCAACCTGGTTCTTGGAGAGCTTGTTTTCGATCTCCCAAGCCTGTCGCAGGTTCAAGACTGACAGCGTCTTGGAGACAAGCATGCGAGCCTGAAATGAACCTCTAAACATTGAGCCGAACTTCATGTCACTCATGCACATTGCACGAGCAAACCCAGCTTACTCATCAGGTCCTCTATCTCATGGAAGCTTGAATGGAAGTTTGATGGTATGCGATGTGGATGTGGAAGTTGGGCTAGGAACTGGTGGCATTTACTGCCAAGTTACGTGAGAACTGCTCGTGCTGCTCTTTGTATGCAGCTCTGTCATAAGCAAATCGAAAGTGCCAGCGCAGCAGCAGTGGCTCAGTCGGGTTGCGAACATCTGACTGCTAGTTGAGTGGCCCCAACACTCCGACTTGCCAACAGCTGCCACAGCGCCTTCCGGAAAACGTCCTCGTCGTAGGCGAAGGTGACGACCTAATTCTCACTTTCTTCAGAGCTGAGTGGTTGCATCATAAGCTCAAAGTTTTGGGGCAAATCTTGCGCACACACAAGCTGTTAACAAGCTACGCCACAAATGAGTGCACACTTCTCCGGCAAGGCTGCTGTTTGCACGTGTGGCATGTCATTGAAGAAAGTCAGCTCATCGGCTCGGACTTGGTGCTCAGGGCACGTTCCCGCAACACCACAAGAATCCTCGTCGATTTCCCACCTGACCCCCCCCCCCCTTCCCCGGTGTCGTGTCAATGATCCGGTGGGTATTCGGAATGAAGCTGCAGATTACGAAGAAGAGCCCATCCAACTTGACTGTGGTGAAAGCGCAGACGTCGCCAGCAGAGGCGCATGAGACTGTAGGTTAATAACGCAGGACTTGTTACAAATGAAACTAGCTTATTTGGCTGGGCATGAGCGTAACTCTGCAGAGCAGCGGCCCAAAAACTTGACTACGTATACAGAAGAAGCATGATTTGCTTCAACTGCCCATGTCTTTTGCCAACCATCAAGGCTCTCTACACTCTTCATGCTTGTCATGTCCTTCCGTCGCTCCGAGGACCGCGCAAGTCCATCAGCTCCTGTCGCACGGCTTTCTTCGCTTGTACGCTGGGCCAAAGGTTCGTGCCTGAAGGCCTAAAGGTTGTGGCATACTGTGGCAGTGGCTCTCCCAATATGACTCCGGGTATATGTAGTTCATCCTGGGTCCCATCAGCACAGCTCGAGTGTGTGCATTGGACAAACATGGACAAACGGTTCTCGAGAGCGAGCAGCGAGCTTGGAGAACCCTCGCCTCTTGCAGCTCTCATGCCCTGGATCGTGATTCTGGCGACGTCCACTTTGGTCACATCTCGGTGAGCTTACTCTGTTGGATGTGCTGCAATCAGGCATACCAAGGGTCAGTGTGAGGCTCAGTTCAATGACGGGGCTTCACTTGCAACGAAGACAGCAAACCTACACACCTTGCAACATGCACTGGTATTAACAACAGCCAAAGACAGGGCTTTTTTCCTCCTAGTGGTCATCAGGCTCGAGACGAGCCTGACCCCTGCACCAAGTCATCAATAAGGCTTGCACAACTTTAGCGATCTCGATCGGCAGAGAGCATGCCAAGTGCAAGAACGCCTATTCTTTGTGTGAGGCTCCAGCTTTCATGGCGGTACACACCACCACTGACCAAGCCTCGGTCTGATCTTGGATGCTGTTGGCACGAGGTCTGCGACATCATCGCTCGCAAGACTGGGTTGCACTTGATGGCTGCCGGTAATTCTCTTGAAGGCTCGGTTGCTGGCACCATCGCACCTGCAAAATTCTGCAAGCAAGTATATATTTGTGACTACTCACA